TAGCTAAACAGTCCATGGCTGTGGTTCTTCCACACTGCACTGGTCTCATGCTGTATATTCTGATTCACATTCATTTGCTTCCATGTGTCTGTCAGTCTTTGTGAGACTTTCCCTTTGATCTGTGGGTTACTTAATAATGTGTTGTTTAATGATCATGTTTAGTCCCCATTCCTTCATATTTCTGTTAATTTGTGGTTAGATTATTGTCAGAAAACATGGAAGATTTCATGTCTTTGATGAGGGAAATTTTAGTAGTAGTACTAAAGGAAATTTAAAATCACTGCTTTTTATAATGGTTACTTTTTCAAATAAATTAATGTCAAATATTTAACATCCTTGGAGGCTAAGCTCATATTTCCAACTTAGAAATGTGAGAGCATTGAGAGCCTGATTTCCACCATGGTGAAAACATCCTTCTGCTTAGTGTTTTCTTGTTTCTGTTCCCCCTACTTTCCTATTGCTTATGTGATTACCCCTCCTCAGTCTTCCCAAGCTTACGGTCCATCTCTCCCATTAAATACAGGCCAACAAAGTGAGTCCCCATTTTTAGCTCTGTTAAAAGTCTTCAAGACAAACAGAATTAACGTCTTCATTCTTTTTGAATCTTTACTTGTGAATTAAAAATAATCTAAGCCTGCTAATTAGCTCAGAGACTTCATTCCTAGCAGTGTTTAACTTTGCAGTTTCTCCACAGCATCATCATCTCTATGGCACTGACTAATGCTAGCTACCAACCACACCACGCAAGGCACCCCAGACACTGCTCTGTGTGCTTTGCATAAAGGTCAGCTCAGTGACTCTGCTCTTTATAGCCCAGATATATGTCAAATATCAACTTCCCTGGTTGAAAAGCGAGTTCTTCCTTATGCCTCTGAAGGGTGAGAAGTGTGAGGTCTTGCTCTGACTGCTGGTTCCTCTTCCTGCTTCAAACCCATTTCTACTTCCACACAAAATTTTTACATGTAAAAAACATATGAAACACATAATGGTCTTGCTGTCCTTTGTTGAGCAAATGAAGAAAGGAGGGAACAAATATTCATTCAGTAAAAGGTTTGTGTAGATCGTCCCTTTCTCCTACATTCCAAATATCATCTCCTCAAGCCTGCTTTGATTTCCATTAAACTAGTTATAACTTTTGCACATATAGCCTTTTTGAGAAAAGATGTTTCTCTTTTTTTTCAATTTTATTTTTTTTTGTAGTATTTTTTTAAACATAAAATCAGGTTATAATGTAAAAGTCCAGGGTTATTTTAAAAAGTAAAATATTTTCCCTGTAGAAAATAGTATAAATGATTAACATTTCCTAATAAGACATTTTAAGCCAAATAATAGCTGAATTATACATATAAATATTGATTATTTTCAGAGAGCTATGTTTTACTTAAGTTGTGTAAGTGAGATTCCTATTCATCTTCCCCTCATTGTTTGATTTACGGCAGACATTTTTCTATAGGCTAATCCTAAGATGTTTTTCTTAATTCTGAATGATAAAAGTGTTCAAGTATGTTCTTAGGACTATGTAAACTTTGAATTTTGATTCTCACACTAACATCTCCCAATTTCTACTTCCATATGTTTCGTAAAACAAGTATCATCTGACCTTGGCTGGTTATTATTGAATGGCTCTTGTCTTTTCTGTTTATTTGTTTTTTTTTATTTTTGTTGTTGTTTTGGTTTTTTTTTTTTTTTTTTTTTTTTTTTTTTTTTTTTTTTTTTTTTTTGGTTTTTCGAGACAGGGTTTCTCTGTGTAGCTTTGCGCCTTTCCTGGGACTCACTTGGTAGCCCAGGCTGGCCTCGAACTCACAGAGATCCGCCGGCCTCTGCCTCCCGAGTGCTGGGATTAAAGGCGTGCGCCACCACCGCCCGGCTTGTTTTGGTTTTTTGAGACAGGGTTTATCTGTGTAACCTTGGCTGTCCTAGAGCTCAACCTGTAGACCAGGTTGGCTTTGAACTCAGAGATCTGCCTTTTGAGTGCTGGGATTAAAGGCATGGATTTTTATTGTCCTTTTCACAAGTGTCTAAAAGCTCAGATTTATTTAGTTATTTATAACAGTCTTGGCTGTCCTGGAACTCGCTTTGTAGACCAGGCTGCCTCTGCTTCCCAAGTGCTGGGATTAAAGGCGTGTGCCACCACCGCCCGGCTAAGTTTAGTAATTTTGACTTTGGATTTTTTATCCAAGCATTCTCTTCTTTCTGGTTTCTTATCTTCTTCCTTACTCCCTCCCTCCACACGTTTGCAAATGTGGAGTTGTTGGTTCAGTCATTAGTCATATGATAGGGAGAATTCGGGGAGTGGGGAACAGAAACAGCAAGGTTTTTTTGTTTTCTTTTTTTTTTTTTTTTTAAGCTGGGATGTTCTCTTCACAATAAGTCTTGCACTTCTTCAATTAATGCCTCTTTCTTTTGGGGGCCTAGAGCAGCTTGGAGGCAGGGGTTTGCTCAGTCGCCCCATCTGCTGACTCAGCCTCTAGGGCACTGACATGGCATGCACGTGCTACCTCCCCAGCCTGGCTTTTATTGTCCCGAGCTCGATGCTTTATCACCGCTGTTTCCTTGCCCATTATTTTAGAGGTCGACGCATTACTATCCCCGCTCTTAATTTCTTTTATCGGGAAACCTGATACTTTCTCAGAATTCTATAACCCCACCTGGTTTTTGTCTCAGGGAGCACACCATACACCTGTGTAGAGAGGAGATGCTGGCCAGGCAGGACTAAGCTTTTGTCATGGTAGGTGGGGCAGTAAGGGCTGATGATGACTCTTGAATTGCCGCTCACCAGGCCTCTGTGTAATCATTGCCCTATTCAAAGTACAGAAAGTTTTTGATCTGATTTTAACATCATATAAGTATATATAGAGGCATCACATGATAACAATATGTACAGTTTCTCTATCTCATAACTTTTTCTTTCTTTTTTTTAGGAGGGTGCTAAACTAGCTTTTTCATTTTGCTTTGTTTTAGTTTTGGTCATTATGAGGTAGAGTCTAACTTTATAGCCTCTGACTGGAATGGACCTCATTCTGTAGACCAGGAGGCTACCCTCAAACTCAGAGATCTTCCTGCCTCTGCCTTCTGAGTGCTGGGGTTAACTGCATGTACTACCTCTGCCAGTTTTAAAATAACTTTTTAAACTAAAGTTTGAGATGGGTTATTAGTATATGTTTGGAAGTGTCTGAGATGCTGTTTTCTATATTTTAAATGCCAGAGTGTAACGTCGGGACTTAAATTCATTTGTTTCACCTGTCCTTTGAATTTGACATTTTTTTGTGTGTGTGTGAGTTAAATGGAATTTTAAGTTTGTATATAATGTTGGATAGTCATTTATAAAACTTTAGGCATTTTGTGTTCCATGCAAGTAATTTTGACTGCATTGAATATCTATTGGCTAAAATTAGATTTTCAATCAGTGTAATATATAAAATGAATCACTCATTGCCCAGAAGAATTTGTGCAAATTAAAATTATAGTACTATAGTACAACTGCTGTATGTATTAAGGAACAAATACATTAGTTTTCTGATAGTCCATCTTCATGTTGTTACTGTGAGAAACAAGTGTGAGATGTGAATGGTCAAAAATACATAATTCATAATTCAGGGCTTTCCAGACAGTCAGTACTGTGCGTTTTTCTTTTCTTTTTCTGATTAGTTAGTTTGAGTCTCACTGTGTAGCTCTGGCTGGCCTGGAACTCTCAGTGTAGACCAGGCCAGTCTCAAACTAACAGAGTCACACCTGCTCCAGCCACCCAAGTGCTGGCTTATTATGACCATGTAGCCAGATCTTCCCTTACATTTTATTCATGTCTTGTTTCATTTAGTGCCAGTCGTGAGCTGAGTTGAAAAGGGTCCTGGATTCAGTGCCTGCTTACCAGGCTTCCTTTCCAGCACTTCTCTTTCCTTGATACAAAGAGTGTCTAAAAGAATCTTTTTTTTTTTTTTTTTTTTTTTTGAGACAGGGTTTCTCTTTGTAGTTTTGGTGCCTGTCCTGGAACTCACTCTGTAGCCCATGCTGGTATCAAACTCACAGAGATCCACCTGCCTCTGTCTCCCGAGTCCTGGGATTAAAGCGTGCGTCACTACCTCCTGGCCCAGAATTTATTTTATAAGCTGGTTATTTTATTATTTTTAAGAGTCTTGTATGTTTTTATGTGATATGTTTTATTATGCATTAACAAATGCTTAAGATGTATTCTTAGATAATAACAATCATCCCTGGGTGTTTGATTGATGTGTGTCTCTAATGTAATTTTCTGAAACAATCATGTGTTATCACCAAGTGTTAGGAACTTTTCTCATGGTTGTGATGAAATGCCTGGCAAGAAGCAGTGTCAGCAAGGGTTTGTGTGGGCTGACCGTGGAGGGCGGGTACAGCCCATGAGGGAAAGGCAAGGTAGTGGAAGTGGGATGTGGCTGGTTATAATGTGACCTCATGGGAAGCAACGATGTGAACGTGTGTGTGTGTGTGTGTGTGTGTGTGTGTGTGTGTGTGTGTGTGTGTGTAGGTGTAGGCCAGAAGTAGATGCCAGCTGTCTTCACTTCTCCCCCTTACCATTGCAGACAAGGGGGCCCACTGAGCTGAATTCACTGAATGGGTAGACCAGCTTACCTGCCCACTTCTGGGATCCCCTCAGCTCCCTCCCCGCCACTGTGGCACTTGGGTTACAGCCTTACACCACCATGCTGAACCTTAAGCTTTTGTGGCAGGCCCTTTACTCACGGAGGCATCTCCCAGCCTATTTCACATTGCTCTGTAAGTCAGTTGCAGGGGGACCACGAAGGCCTCTTCACTTGAAACTGCAGAGAATGGAACCCTCTACTCCAAGTTTTGTCAGATCCCCACATGGAGTCCTGGTGACCTGCAAATTATTTTTTAGATTTATTATCCTTTCTTACACAAATTTGTTAAGGAGGCAGTCATTTCTATTCCTATTTCCATTCTCTTCCCATCCTTAGGTAAACCTGGGTGATTTCAGCTGTTTTTGTCTCTTTCCTCCTTCCCAGGTTCAGGACATCTGTTTCAGCCATGATTGTCGCTGGGTGGTGGTCAGTACCCTCCGGGGTACTTCGCACGTTTTCCCCATCAACCCTTATGGTGGCCAGCCTTGTGTCCGCACACACATGTCACCACGAGTAGTGAATCGCATGAGCCGTTTCCAGAAAAGTGCTGGGCTGGAAGAGATTGAGCAAGAACTGACATCTAAGCAAGGCGGCCGCTGTAGTCCTGTTCCGGGCTTATCCAGCAGCCCTTCCGGCTCCCCTCTGCATGGTAAACTCACTCTCTCTCTCTGTCTCTCTCTCTGTCTCTCTCTCTCTGTCTCTCTCTCTCTCTCTGTCTCTCTGTCTCTCTGTCTCTCTCTCTGTCTCTCTCTGTCTCTCTCTCTCTCCACCTCTCCTGCTTGCTGTATGACATGAATTTTATTGGCTCGGGATCAGATGCAAGTTTTTATAGCGTGTTTGTGCTGTGATTAAGTCCTAAGCACATTTACAAAATTCGTATTTATTAAATCAATTAAAAGTGCGAACCAAAGTGATAATGGTGATCTTTTCATGGTATTTTAACTGCTTTGCATTTTCAGTATATAATTGGTATTCGGTTTGAGATTGAGTCTGTTTTCATAACATTTGGATATGTATTCCAGAAGAGCCTTTGTGTACTCGGCTGATACTGCAGTTCAGTGAGAAATATTTGTTATTATAATGGAACTGTCATGAGCTGTGTACTCATACTTCATTTTTAAGTAAAGCTCTCTGGGATTCATCCCAGTACGTTACAGCAGGACAGAAAGTCACTTTTCAATACCATCATCCTGATCAATAAATGGAGCATCACCAAAATCCTTCCCTGTCCACCTCTTTCTAATATTAAACCATTTCTGGACATCGTGGTGTTCACCTGCATTTAAAAATACATTTACTCCAGCAAAGCCCTTAAATATGTTCTGTTTGATGTTAACCAACTTGTATATAGTGGATGTGTTTTTATAAGATCTATTCATGCTGTGGGATGGTTTATTTGGTTTTGTTTTGGACACAGTCAACTTCAAACTGGCTTATTTTGAATTTGGACTTCCTACCTTAGACTCGTGCATGCTGGAATTACAGCCCATGCCCTTCTTCCTTTCTTGTTTGGAGAGTTGTTTCATGTCGATGACTGTCAGTTCAGCTGCTTTGAGGTGTTTTAGGCTCGCCTTTTTGAAAGGCTGCGTTTCAGCTGCCCACTCACTTCCTTGTGCAATCATGCTGCTATTTCGTTATTGTGCCGGACCATACTGAGTTCTAATGATGCAGTTCTAATAGTTCTTCTATTGTTTCTTGTTTCCCCCCCCCCCCCAGGAAAAAAAAAACCATTTAATCAATTTAACCATTTAGCCAAACATTCACACAGTTCTGGACTGCCCAACTTTACCTCCTAAGGCCCACTTAGCATTTTTCTAAGCTTCCCTTCCCCTATACTTAAATGTGAGGACTCCCTGGTGGACAAGACCCATCATAGAAGCCTCATCCAAAGTTGGTCCAGGAAGCCCTGATAAAGTGATTGGCAGTTCTACCTACCCAGCAGAGGACTGCATTCTCAGCTGGGGACTATTGTTTCTTGTTAAAACTGTATATTATTTTTGAGTGGAAATTCTGAGTCATTCTATAGGTGAATCTTTTATGATTTTTTTTTCATTTTTCTAAAGTTGTATGTTTGTTTCAGATAATGTCTCACAAATATAACCTGCAGTAGTCTGGGTACTCATAATCCTCCTGCCTCAGCCTCTGGAGAACTGTATTATAAGTGTTCTCCACCATACCCAGCTGATGTGATTTTCACATCATTGACTCTGGAAGGGTTGTGCCATTTCATTCCCTTCAAAAAGACTTAACATGTTGATACTTGTTTTCTGGAGGTTTTCATATTCTCCATAATAGTGACCATTTTATATTTTCAAAATTGAGGTATTTTATATGGGGGGATTATGGTTACTACAATAAAGACTCCTTACTTTTTATCCTTCTGAAGTTCATGTAAACATGAACACATGCACAGTGCTGTCAGCCATGACCCCTGTCTCTCAAACACTTCCCTCCTGCAGCAGGGAATCACTCATGCTTCAGGCTGTTCCTTACTGTTTATTCTTTCCCCCCAGACCTCCCTATCCCACTGGTTCTGTGCTCGTAGCTGGTTCAGCCACCTCACATGCAGCCCTTTTTCCTGCTGACACTCGGTGAAGTCCCTTTACTCCGTGTTCTCTCATATTGGAGGCATCGACCTCAGAGCAACGCTTGTTTCTCTTCATTCTCTCTGTGTCTTCCATGTCAAAACAAAATGGGCATTGTTGTTGGTTAGTTCTAAAAATGATGTATTTACACTTTGTGTGGGTAAACAGTCTGATGCTGGTTACAAACAATGTAAACCTTGAAGCAGGGAGGGATTCATCTTGCAAATGAATCATGTCTTGGCTGCTCTGTCTTGTTTGTCTGCGCTCTTTTTAGCAAAGTGAAGGAAACTGTTAAATAACAATTGATATAGGGTATTTCCTTTTAGCCTTTTGGAGCCAATCCAGTTTAGGTTAAGGATTCTTGTATCTTTTTTTGTAAGTTTTCCAGAGGATGTTTATTTATTTGAAGTATATTTTTTGTAAATATCTCTTTCATTTCCTATCTTGTTGAAGCCTTGGGCTTCAGAATAGAGGAGGCACTCTTATGTTGAGATCCTCGAGTATGCTCTAGCAGAAATGCACACTCACTTCCATTATGAATCTAGAAAACACACGACAGTGTCAGGAGAGGCTGCTGGTGGCAAGTGCAATGGTTCCTTATCGCATTATATGGGAAATAACATCTGGTTATATCTGAAATAGGATCATATTATATGAGGAATAAGCTTCAATTATTGTTTCTTCAGATACTGTCTGTGCTTACATCTACTTTGAAATTGCATTTGACTGTAGTGTGACTTTAATATGATTTCATGTATTGCTATGCCACCACATTAAAAAAAATAAGACTTTTACTATAGCATCATTTTCCTTAGTAAGAATGCATTTATGTATAACTAATATGCATTATTCTCAGAGTACACGGCTTTTTCTAGATTTGTAAGTAGTTTGTCATGCAGGAATAATAGTGATGGATCTCTGATAATTATTTCTTCCCTCATTCATTTCAGTTACCTCTAGCCTTTTTTGGAAAAAGATATGAAACCATTTCCTTCATTAACCACAATATGCTCTCATAACTTTCTGGTGAAAATTGTGTGCCTCACCAAGTTGTTAGTGGGTTAGGGTGGAGAATGTCAGTCCCATCTGAGCTCCATCTGACACCAAGATTTCTGCCCATTCCAAGTATCCTCCTTGTATTCCCTTTTGGGAAACTCAGTCTTGTTTTGTGTTTCTTTACCTGGAGTTGTCTTTACAGCTTTGCTGCCTGTTAACTAAACTAGCCACCTAAGACTTCTTAAGCATTGCCCTAATGTTGTTTTAGGTGTAAGTGTCATTATTGCTCTTATTTGAATATAATAATTACTTATCGACACACCAGTATCTCTTATTGACCTCAAAGTTGGGAAAATCTTTTTGTTTTCACTTGTTCTCTTGGCTCCTCGTGTACCAGTTGGTAAAATATCAAAGACATTCAACATGTTTAGAAGTGATTCCAAGAGAAACAGTGCATTTTGTTATTTTTCTAGATTAGTTTTTAAGTTAGCACAAGCAGTTGCATTATGGCATTTTTATACGTGCATAAAAAGCAATTTAGATTTAAATCATAACTTGCCAGAATGGAGAGGTTTTTATTCATGGTAACATTGCTTTTCAATTTGACACATGTAAGATGATCACTTACTCAGCCACTGTAAATTAATGGTTTTTTTTAATATGTGTGTTGAGTCAGCAAAACAGACGTTTGGTGAGCAAAGCGGAATCTGTCTGTGTTCTTGCAACTATGACAGATTGAAAGAATGACAGGGAATACAGGGAGTGGTGTGGCACACCTTTAATCCTAGTACTCTGGAGACAGAGGTGGGGTTGTAAAGTGAGACCCTGTCGCAAAAAGAATAGAAGAAATTAGGAAGTGTCTAGAAAGGATTTCCACTTTAACTCACCATCCTGTTTGTGGATGTCGCTGCGGTGATAACTGAGTAAAGACCTGATGGATATGAGGGAAAACTTAGGCAGACAAGAGCAGACAGCACAGCTCTAACCTGAGCTGAGAATACGTCTGGTGTGCTCAGGGGATAGCAGGACAACTGGTGTGGTCCAGCACAGTGTTCCCATAGAATAGTGATGTGCTCAATTAAGGCTCCTGCTCATTGCAGACTTTGACTTTGACCCAGAGTGGCACGGGGACATTGTGGTGGTTTTGAAGACAGGAGTGTTGTAAGACTGGGCTTTGGTTGCTCTGAGTGGAAATTTGTATGGAAAAGGCACAGTCTGAGGGTGGGCAAAGGTAGAAACCTAGAGAAGCAGTGAGGGAGTGTTGACAAGGGCCAGCAAGAGAGGACTGTGGAGTTTGAAGTAGGTTGTCAGTCCGGGTTTGTTAGAGCTATGTAGACTTTCTGAGTGTATATGTGTTTCTGTGTGTTCATATTTGTGTATACATGTGTTTGCGTGTCACAGAGTCTCTCCTCTAGCCCAGGCCAACCTCGAGCTCACTTTTATTAACCCCTTGTTCTCTCATTTTCATGGCAGTCTTCTGACATCAACCTCTGGATTATAGGTGTAAGCCACCACAGCCTGCTTCAACACTGTTGTTATGGTAGAACCATCTGAACTTTTTCTGCTTACATTTTATGTCCAGTAGGAAAGAATGGTTGAGTCATGGTGAGTAGCAGTGGTTTTGGTTGGAAAAGCTAGAAGAATTGGGGTTGTTATCAATTGTACATCAGCAGATTTGGGGATAAAAACAGGATTGAAAGTTTTGGATACGTTAAGTTTAGGCTCTCTCACTTTCCCACTCTTTTCCTCTCATCTATCCCTTTTTTCTTCTTTCTCTGTCTTGTCATTTATCCTGTCCTTTTTCACCTCCTCAGAGACAGGGTCTCACTATATAGCCCTGGCTAGCATGATGGGATTACATGTGTGTATCTGGAACTGGTTCAGTGTCCCATGTTCTTAGCATGGTTCATATGTGGTTCTGGAATTCCTGGGAGATGACGCGTTTGTATGGGGATAGTGATCAGAAGGCATGGTGCAGGTGGAAGCACATGCAAGAGAGGAGTTCCTGGGGAGAGTGATTATGGGTAAGAGATGTCCCCAGCAAGTGATAGGAAATAGAAAACCATAT